AAGGAAATGTCACCGTTTGATGAGCATAAAAGCAAAAGCCCATTGTGTCCATTTGTGACGAAGATGACATGCCTTGAGAAGAAAAATGGATTATCAGTAGGTAGGTAGCGACCAGAGACAGTATACTTAGACCTTGACCTGTGAAGGTCAAGGTCAAAACTTGTAGGAGAAACTAGACAGTTTAACTGTAAGGTGGCGTATTGTTATTCGACCTAATGAATAATTTTGCTTCGGGTTTGGTCCTGACCTATAAAGTTGAACCTGGACCTGCGGACCTGCACTTAAAAAAATAGACCTAGACTTGGACCTGGCCTGAACCTGGACCTATGACCTGAACTTTTGACTTGGACGCTGGGTCCGTTGCATGAAAAAATTCTGATAGTGCGAATTTACAATATCCTGTACTTAAGAACAGTTCTTAGAATATATGAGAAGCACGTGATAGATATTTTGAACAAAAATGTCTTTAGGTAATAAGGTCATTACGGTATTTCATATTGTTCTCAGAATTTCCAACAGGAGAGAAAATGTGTATGAAATAATTCAGTTTCACACTGCTAGATATAGTCAATGGCTGATATGTTGCTTATGTGGACAGGTCACAGGTAGAGGTTCAGGTCAAAGTCCAGGTCCCCTTTTCCAAGTTCACGTCCTACAGGTCAAAGTCCGCTTTTGCGAGGTCAGGTCTGGACATTTGATCTGGATCTGACCTGGACCTAACCTGGACCATCCTGTCTCTGGTAGCGACCATTTTTTTCATATTGAAATGATGTAACTTTTCCTTCTTCAGATCAGTCGGCGTCAACTACCGGAATCAAACCACCAAAATTACAAAAAACGGAAACATCGACATGTGTGGTAGATGCTACTACTCAACAGAATAATAATAAAAGAAAGCAACAACAGGAAGAAAAATGTTCACTAGCTACAAATTTTGTTGCCGCAAAATGGTTGTCTGAATTAGAAATAACTCGACAAGTGCGCCGTAGAACACTTTCGCATTGGCCACATCAAATACCATCGAGAAACCAAATGTATGAAGCTGGCTTTTTTGGTTGTAATGTTGGAGATCGTGTCATATGCATATACTGCAATGTGATATGCCAGCAGTGGACGTCCCACAATGATGATCCAATCGAAGTGCATAAACTAATATCACCTAATTGCCCCTACGTTAAATCACTAATCATGAAAACTAGTCAATCAAGCAATGTTCGAATTGTTAATGAAAGTGACAGTCGTCGATCAACACAAACGATCTCAACTATCAACACTAGTACTACCACCGACAATAACTCCATTTTACGGTGTAATGAAATTGTTCTAACCGCGGCCTGTAACATTACTTACAGTGAAATCCCAAAAAGATTTGCTTCGTTTACCACGTGGCCGAAGGATCCTTTACCATCCATCGACGATTTGGTCAAGTCTGGTTTCTATTATACTGGCACGAAAACAGTTGTCACTTGTTTCTACTGCAATGGGTCCCTACAGAACTGGGGAGAAAAAGATAATCCGATGATTGAACATGCGCGCTGGTTCCCACAGTGTGCCTATGCTCGTCAACTTTGTGGCGATGACTTATATAGAAAGATTCAAGAATCAAAACGAGCAACGCAAAGTATGTGGTTCTCGTTTAATCTCTTTGCCTCTACAACTTGTGTATCTCTTCATTGTTTCAGATCGCTCGAGTTCTCATGATCAAAGCAGAGGATTCTCTCTAACAAATACGAATAGAAATACAGACGAGACTAACGATAGTTCGAGAACAGAGACAAATACTTCGAATAACAGACAGCTGCAAATACCAGATGAAAGTACACTATCAAGATTAGTTTCTGCTCGATTAGATTTGCCAGCATCACAACATTTATTGAATAAGAATGTGAAATTATCAATCATAAAACGTTGTTACGAAGATCAATTGCGTTTGAAACGTAAGTGATGATAAGAGCAGAATCTGATACTAGATGTACATGATACGTTAAACTGCAAATCATTTGTCTAGATGATGATTTTGTGAGTGATTGTGACTTAATGATGGCATGTACTATACTTCAAAAACAAATTGATCATATTGATGGAAAAAAGGAGAACATTATAATACCTAGTGTATACATGAAGAAACTACATGAACAAGCAGAAAAAGAAAGAATAGGTACATTGATCTGGGATGACGAATCGTTTTCTGTTGAGATTCGAAATTTATTATTCTTAATTTTTAGAAAGAGCGAAAACTGAAAAGATTGGGCATCTGTCAGGTTCATCACAAGTAATTTCTCCCGCAGTGGCTTTACCAGCCGCTTCATCCGGTTCGGAGATGGCCTCATCAACAAATGAATCAGGCTCATTACGTTCTTCTACACTCCCAATGGAAACAAATAGTGGTAATACGAATGCTGACAAAGAAAAGGAAAAATCTCAGCATCTAGCATCGGCGGGGTCGAATCTTTGCGTACTTTGTTTGACCGATGAAAAACGTTTAGCATGCATACCATGTGGCCATCTAGCTACGTGTGTCCCTTGCGGGCATTCATTGAGAACCTGCCCGCTATGTCGCCGTGATATCGAAGCCTTCGTACGAGTATATATTTAAAGCGTAGAAGAAATTTGTCCATTAGCATCCATGGTCACCGATCATAATAAACTGCTCGCGATCTCACATCTTCAAATGATCACATTCTTTAATAAAGCTCGGATAGGTTTTCAATTGTCGCTTATATTTGTGTTATTGTTTGGATAAGATAAAGGTGCAACTTATTATGCTTTGCTTTTCCGAAGCAGAGTAAGAAGAAGAGCAAAACAGTGTTGTATGCTTTTCTTTATTTTGTCAAAGTTTTGAGTACGAAAATCAAGAATCCAACAGCGATTTCTGGATGTTCAGCAATACCGCCAACGATTTGAAGTCAAAAATCGACATTTAATGGGTTCTATAAATTAGCCAGAAATTGACTATCATTCTTCTTTATCCACGATTGTGTACAAATGTTTTGTGAGATCATGGCCAGAGTATAAAATAATGCGAACGGCCATCATTGGGTGAGCTACTTGTTCATTTTTAATTATCAATTTTATAATTTAAAAATTCAAATAATCAAGGTTTTTAATGACGACATCGTCCCTACTTTTTTTGTTGTTTGCTTTAGAAAATGCTACTTTACTATGTGTTTCTGCAAACTCCTGCATTAATTTTATTCTCATTTATGCAGTAGGGCGGTAGTACTTAGGGCATCATATTCTGCCAGTTCAACAGCTGGCATCTTTTCATTCACTCATTTTTGTTTATATTCAAGATTGACATGTTCGTTTACCTATTTAATTTGCAAACTACAAGTTTAATATGTAAAAAAAGTCTACTTATTAAATCAAGATGACTTCAGATTTTCAATTTTTGTTAATTTTTTATTCAAAATATATGTGAAAAGTGAAGCAAAATCTATTGATGAAATTAACAACAATACGAATCTACTATAAAGAACTGTATAATATAGAAACCAATAGTACGACAATACGAATGCATTTTTCGATAGTTCACCGAAGGAAAAACATGTACTAAATACAATCATTTATTATTCCAGTTTATTTGTAACAAGCACTTGAAAAAGCATATTGTGTCTATCATGTAGATTCAAACATGAACTTCTACAACAGACATGCAGTTTATTGCGGATGGCTTTTGCACTATACAGTACTAATATGTAGTTCGACAAAACGGTTCTGTAAGTAATTTATACTAAGTTGCATTGTCGTTGATCAAACCTTAACATTTTGTAGATACAAGGTCCATAGGATGATGAGACTCTTTTCCTCTCCCTTACAGACGTCTGACATTTTATAGACTGGTAGTTCTCTTGTTATTCAGAATGGAAGGAACTCAAGCTTGTTTTGTGACACACTTCCAAGGCTTTCCTTCGTCAAGAGGAAAAGTGAAGTTTTAAGTTTGAAAAGGTTTTGGGGATCACATGACTGTTATTGCACTTTTTTCACCTTTTCTTCACCCGCTGGCAACAACAACAAATGTTTTCAATACCTGTTTTATGTTGGTTTTTTCTCGTTATATTCTTTCTGTTTCGATTGCTGTAATCAAAGAAAGATAAAGCAAAAAAGAATCAAAAATGTGTAGTGGTTGGTTTTTTCCAAGTAATTAATGTTGTTTTTATAGTATTTAAATAGTGTAAGTGCTTGACAATGAGATGCAAATGTAATATAAAAACCATGTCAAATTAAGTTGGAAAATACCATGGACGATATATACTTGAATAAATTGATAAAAAACGACCTTACTATATATGTGAAAAACTTTATCGTTAAAAGAACATTGAATGAGTAACCAGACAATTGTATTCAATAACATATTTCCGCTAGTTCATAGACAATTAGCGAACTTCAGATGGAAAAGTATCAGTACAATCAAAAAACTTACAGTAAACCTATCTGAGTCGCAATATCTTCCTCAACAGAATCTAATTACCTTTGTATAACAGGAACTATTGTTACGAATTTTAATTTAAAAATATCTGATTTAAAAAATTTAAATAATTTCAGCACAGTGTTAGAAGGGAGTTCGATGTTTCAATTTTTGATGAAAATCAAGAAGTTAAGAGCTCATATATTTATCGAAGAGTTTAGTAAATATTTCTATCATCATGTCATGTGTAAACAACTTATTCCGGTTATTGTGATTTTCGAAGAGCCTTTGTTGCTACTATCTCATATACATAGATGGGCGATTTGCAAGAGAGAGTTTTTAAGCGTTTATCATTAAAACGTTGAACATTAAATGAATAACCAGACAATTACATATTTGACAAATGTTTTTGAGATGAGAAGAATTCCATCGAAAGTTTTCTATCTGACGTATTTTTTAAAAATAGATGTTTATCAGAAAAATTAAACTTTTGAAATGTTAGAGTAACTAAAGATATTCCCATTCAGGATTACCTACGCCTGTTCAAGATTGTCATGCATTATCGGCAATGATAGTTTGCACTATTCATAATAGGAAGAGAGTAAGTTGGTAGTATCTAATTACAAAAAAGAACCGACATCGGTTGTCATGAATATAAAGCAAAGCAAATAATATAAAATTTTGCTTTCTGTATTTAATTCTTCTGTTTCCTTGTTTTAAAAAAACATCGGCCTTTACAATTGAGTTATCAAGAAACAATCAGTGACCTTTACAATCGAGTTTCAAGGAAGATTATCAAAGGAGTGCGTCTAACGAAAGCACATAAATATCGATGCTTTTTTACTTTTTGCAAGAAGCAAACACATTTTGATAAGAGAATACATTAGAGTATAATAATTAGTAAAACAGCTCAGCTATTTCAAAAATAGAAAAGGTCACGAACGTCTTGTCTAGAAATGTTCATGTTTTGATATAAAATATATACTGTTGTCTATTAGAAGAAAAAAAAAATATAAGAAAGTATTCATCAAAACTGTTGTTTTATAAAAGTTATAAAAAGTTGTCCGCCAGTTTCTGGCAATTTGTGTACATATATAAGTCGTGCAATAAAAAAACTGCAAAAAGCTTTCTTACGTTGAACGGTTGTGTCTGGAAAGAACCACTTAATAAGCATAATAAATTATTTATAAAAAAATCCTGGCAGGGTAGCACCTAAAGATGCTAAAAGGTGGAACTCCCAATACTCAGACGTCTGGTCACGTTAAGAGGTTGTGTACGCCTTTGCAAGAGGTTGTGACTACCATTTTAAGAGGTTGTGTCCTCCAGGGGAGAATGGGTGAGGGGGATCGAATTTATTTTAAAAACCAGCGGTTTTGGGCTTTAAAACTGTTACTCCCTTCCCTCTTCTTCGAAGATAGTGAGGAAGTTCGACAAAAGTGATACTAGAAAAAATATTTTGTTAGTGTAATAAAATTAAACGTTTTTGTAAGTATCATGAATGACGGATAGTTTCATTTATTTGACGATTTTTTGAAACACAACTTGAATGATATATGTACAATTATGGTACCGAATCATTTGATATGCATATTTTGAATATTTATTTCTCGCCTGATAGAACAAGTTAGTTGAATCAATCAATAGCATAAATAAATATGAAATATGATGACACATAGACACATGTATCGGTTTCGGTTTTCTATTTCTTGCCATAATGCTATAGAGTATGAAATGAATATTAAATATTTACTTAAAGTGAATAAATCATAAAAAAAATTATAAAGAAGAAAAAGAAAATGATTCGTTTTAATCCAGCGCGCACAAGTACAAACAATGTCTTTTTTTCAGTTGTAGTTTTCTTCTCCCTATGGTAAACAAGCTGTGCTTACAATTAATTTTCTTTGTCGAGAATGAGAAAAAAGATCAAATGTTTCTTTAAACAAAAGAAATTCACATTCGATTGTTTTCACTGAAAGTCTAACTTGTAAAAAGTTGATGACTGTATGGGTTTATTTTTTCGTTCCGTTTTTTTTCTAGATAAACATAGCATAATTTCGTTAGCGTGCGGGTGGGTGTTCTTCTTCGTGTTTTTGCTCGACTCATCTAAGACACGTTCTATCAGTTAAGGAGACGTTTACACATGAACATTAATTGTATGTCAAATAATATTCCAAGATTATGAGGCCATAAAAATTTTTTATTTTCTTTTATTCTTTGAGAAAGTAAGCATACTCAACAGTTAAAGTCATTGTGACAGAGAAGCGGATTTAAATCAACATTTTAACATAGCTGCAACATTTACTGTTAATCGAAAGTCGACCAGTTTATGAGCAAAATACAATCCATCGTTCTTCGCTAATCCAGAATAAATCCTAAAGAACCATTAAATGATCATTACCGGAAGAAAAAATGTTTTTCATATAATAAGGAAGTTCGTTATTGATTTATTCAGGTTATTATGACCTATAGTATTTTCCAACCTAGTCTGATATGTTTTTTATATTATATTTGCATTTCGTTTTTAAGCACTTACACTATTTAAATACTATAAAAACAACATTAATTACTTGGAAGAAACCAACCAAACATTTTTGATTCCTTTCTGCTTTATCTTTCTTTGATTACAGCAATCAAAACAGAAAGAGTAAAAAAGAGAAAAAACCAACATAAAACAAGAACTGGAACCACTTGTCAACGTTGTCAGAGGGTGTGAAAAATGTGAACAATTTTTTCCCGAAATTGCGAAAACAGTCGTGTAATCTCCCAAAACCTCTTAAACTTAAAACTTCACTTTTCCTCTTGATGAAGGAAAGCCTTGAGAGTGTTCACAAAACAAGCTTGAGTTTCTTCCTTTCTGGACAACAAGAGAACTGATAACTACGGCATTGTGATTGGATTAGATGAATCAGTCCGGTTAGGGTGTCCACGCCAGCTACTTCGCCATCTTATTCGTTTGGCAAAGATTATTGAACTACCCAAGGGTATTGTGTATGATAACGCGTACAGCATTCAGTTGTACATGTCAAGTGTTTACTAGGGGTGGCGCATTTTCTTTACTGATGCGTTACTTTACTGAGTAAAGCAACGCTTTCAAATATCACCGTATGAGTGACGAACAACCGAAAATGTATTGTTTTATCACCTTCCGGACACAATGCGACTAAAGCGTTACTATATTATGCGTTACTAGTAACGAGTAACGCAAGCGTTGTTGCGTTACTGCGTTACTAGAAAAGTAACGTAAAAAAGCGTTAAAGTAACGCAAGTAACGCTGCGTTACTCGCTACAAAAACTATGAAAAATAAACGCATCTCGTTAGTAGTTACTGGTAACGCATGCGTTACTGCGTTATCTGTAAAGAAACGGTAAAGCGCCACCCCTAGTGTTTACGATTTGGATCATTTCAAACGTTCAAAAATGGCAGATTATTTTTTCAAGACCTTTTATTTTGCACTTAACAATTTTCATCAGCGAACACACAAACGACATATGTATCAAGCAAGAAGGAGATTAAGTGATGCATCACATGATGGTATGTTCGATCAAATCAATAGTCAAATCGCTGAGCAAACTTTCAAATTTTCTGGCTACTTTAAAACTCACTGGCGTGGATACTCGTTTCCCAAAAGTTTTTTTAGATTTGAATTATCCGTCGGATAAGTATTCTATGTGGATACTAGATGATGACGCGAATCCAAAAATTGAAAATTTGATTTCTGATTTGCCTAAAAGTTATTCAGATCGACGTATCTATTATCGAGCACGTTCTTAATTTGCCATAGTTCTAATCAGAGTGTAAACCTCATCCTCTAAAAACTAAAAAAACTGCCCACAAAATCCAATGACATTTGTTTATTGACCGGTTCACATAGATTTTTTTGCCGAGCTTTTTATTAAATAATGGAAAAATAAAGATACATAAGGGAATTTTGGTTTTCGCACATCTGCAGCCTAATGTGATACTCTAACATAGTGCTACTCAACTGAAGACTAAATATCTTAGAGAAGAATTACAACCTTTTCAAAACGTAAACATAAATGTTTAATTTAACCTCATTCATACCACACCAGAGAACAAGCTCAATAACACATTTTTGTGCAGCGAATATATCAGGTTTTGTTAGTAGCTGTTAACACAATTTTCAGTAGCTGTAAACTTTGGGGATGAAACTGTGATTAATCAAATTTTAATATACACACTGTAAAGTAGAAAGTTTTTTATAAAAAGCTAATATGATTTTCAAAGAGTCGATATAACGGGTGGGCCGTAAAGAATGGACCTCTCAGTGTTTTGCTTATAACTTGGTTTGGATTTGTTTCCGAGACTTGATCTCTTTTTTAAAAGATGCGCTGCGAAATTCTCTGCAGGATCATACCTAAACTATAATTTCAAAACTTCAATCAAGAAAACTAAGCCAATTGGATGAAAGTCGAAAAAAATGTAAACTTCCTAACCTCAACATTTTTTTCGACTTGAACTTTTTCTTCTGCTACTATTTCCGCTGAAAAGTGTAGCAAAAGAGAGAACTCAGTTTATGTTTGGTACTTTCAAATGTGCTCTTTCTCGTGGTCTTTAAAAGAACTTCTTTAGAGCAGATGGTGTGCTCCAGACCGAGGTAACAAAAATACATCAAAAGTTGACAACTTCCCTGTTTCCAACAATGTGCTCAATCAAGAGACGGAAACGGTGATTGACGTTTGATTTTGCAGTTAGATAGAGACGAGCAATCATTTCTGATCAAAAAACAAAGCAAATCCGACCGAAAAAGCTTTTATTTTGATTGAGTTATGGGGCTTTTACTGAAAGCACTACTATACCAAAAATTTAAAAAATTAATGAAAAAATACATGACAACCGATAGAAAAACTATTATTTCGATGTCGTGGAAAGTTTGCAATTGCGGCAACTCCAGTTTTGTGCGCAATTTGTTGAAGCAACGTCATCAGCACGCTGGTTTCAAGCCTGCAGCACATGTGCCGATCTATACTTTACAATATCTCTGGATCATATAAAAAGCATTTGGCAACAGGCATCCACCTCTACTTTATGTTATGTGTGTTATTCATGCTTTTTATGGTATCCTAGGTATTTATGTTATTTATGCTGTTCATGGTTTTTGTGGTATTTGTGTTATTCATGGTATTTTAGGTATTTATGGTATCTTAGGTATTTGTGTTATTCATGGTTTTTATGTTATTTGTGTTATTCATGGTTTTTATGGAATTTTAGGTATATATGTTATTCATGGTATTTCAGGTATTTATGTTATTTATGCTATTCATGGTTTTTCTGGTATTTATGTTATTCGTGGTGGCTAATTTTTGACG